TCGGTACACGTTAATTTCATTTTAACTAGATTCCGAACCATTTAAATAAACGAAAGTCACTGCCAGATGGGGGGGCCGTGCGTGGGAAATAATCACAGCATGAAATTTCACCAGAAAAAGTAATAGTATTTTTTCGAATTCTTTAACCGACCCAGCATGCGTTTATAGCGCTTTTACGGAAATTCCTCCCAATAAATATTCATCTCTTCAGAGGGGTCTGGTGCATCATACAGACCGATTTACATTTACGACTTTTCAAAGTGTCGATTTTTTAAAAGTGAAATGAATTGCTAATGAAAAACAAAAAAAGAAATGATAATGATTACGATGAAGAAAATAACTCAGAGCAGCAGAACGCCCGGGCGGAACTTTCGCATCGCCCCAGGAATCGTTTGCTAATCCACCCTTTCGAACCGGATCCTTGAATCTTGCCATGCCGATGACCTGTGTGCTAATGAGTAAATGAGAACCAAATAGCTTTTTTTTTTTAAATCTTTTCTCGGGAGTCCCTTTTTTTTCATCTTCCCAATCATTATAGTTTTCGGTAGCTGTGGATAGAAAGATGAATAAACAATATCAAAGAAGTTGATAGCTTCGTTGCCAAACGACTTTTGCTCAATCTCAACTCTTAACATTTCGCTTGATATCTGTAGAGTAAAAATCAAGCGATAACTACTGAAAAAAAAATCATTTATTAAAGAACACCATAATTACTTCAAATATGATGGTTATTGACTGTAAAGAATTTTTCCAATGCTGCTGACTATAATTTAATTTCCGTTTTTATGATTTCAGTGAAAAAATAAATAAATAAATAGAAGTAATAATAATGAAAAAAGATTAAACAATATAAGACAATATTATATTGTTTAAGAACATAAAATATAGTTATAAGCTTTATTTATTTATTTATTTACTTGGTATAGCTCCGTGATTCGAACAACTTTTAAAATTTAATTTTAATCAAACATCCTAATCATTTTTTTTTTAATTTTAAAAGCACAGAATAAATGAAATTAAGAAAATGAATGAAAATGAAATCAGAAAATAAATGAAAATGAAGATCAGCTTTTCCAACTAAAACGTAAATGCCCTAACTTTAGAAGGTCAGTGGATATACTAAGAAAAATTATGTAAATTCTATCAATAACAATAATGCATACGAATTTTTAAATTGAAGTATTTTAAATATTTAAATATTTTAAAAATAGGATAAAATAATAAGTGATGTTAAAATTTCATTTTACACACAGGCTGTACTATTATCTTATGACAGTGGTTTTTTTTTTCTGGCAGGATTTAAACTAAGGAATCTAATAATTTAAATTTAATGGGCTCATAATATCTATGAGTAAAGGAGAACAAATCTTTATTTAATATAAAGAAATATTCAATCAGAGAGGTAGTGTACGTCTTACAGGATGGTTGACCCGTGATTATATAAATATCTACACCCTCCCCCCCCACATGTATATATATAAAAAAATATTATAAGATGAAATAAAATAAAAAAATAAATTATTACATCAAAAGAGAACTAAAAGTATCAGCTCAGCAGAAGAAAAGAAAAATCATTAACACGAAATGACAAACTAAATAGCAAAGCACTACTGGAAATAACAACCGAACTATCAAAAAGGAAATATATTAAAAAGAAATTAAAATACAAACACTGACAAACATCGTAGCATCGTCAGGGTGGTATTACAATGCAGCCAGTGCGGGAAACAGAATTAAGAAAGTAGCAGGTTCGAGTATCAAACAAGTATGTGGGTCCGAGAATGTGTAAAAAGGTGAAGAAAAAATAATTAATAAAAATGAAAATATATAAATAGAAATAAAAAATATATAAATAGAAATAAAAAAATCTATAAACATCACATTTTTTACATGCTCAAAATGCCTGATACGAAGCCGTTTTTATTCTTAATGCATGTTTCTTTTTTTTTTTTTAAATATAGTACTTACATACTTATTTATCATTACTTTTTTTTATCAGTGTTCACTAAAATTTGTTTTATGGATGAGTTCCAAAAGCAATCGTATGGTTCCTCTCTTTAATTAGTGACTTAAGGCCAATATTATAAAGTACATAATTCACTTTATAATGTCACTAATATTAAAACCCTGGGCAAAAAAGCAATTGCTTCTTTATACATCAATCATCGACAAGTTCATTAGTCTACTAGTGTCTTTCGAATTACGCCAAGGGCAACTTTAATTATCCTCCGAGATTTGAGGCAGAGATAGGCGGTGGTTGTCTTCTTCTGAATGCCTGGTGACAGTTCTAGAAGTGCAATCAATGAGGCTTCTTCAAGGTGAAATGGCAATCATTCCACTGTAATCATTGCTCTTTGGAGTATCCGCCTATCGATGCATTGACGATAGCATTGATCTACTTTTTTGGGGTTTTCACAAGACTGACAATGCGATTTCATTTTGTATGACAAAATGGCACATGTATTCAGTTGCCTGGTATCATATGTTAACGTTATTGCTTGCATTCTTTAACTAAGTGTTTTTCCAATTAGCGATGCACACTCATTAAATGGGATTGTAAAACAGATTCTTATCAGTTTTTTTATCAGCATACGATCAATCAGGAGATTCAAATCATTTAAGAACCGGTATACTTTGACATTTTTCACGACTCTTAAAAAAAAAAATTATTAAATTAATCGCATAAAACTGCAAAATGATATGGATTTCGGAGTTCAAAATTATTATTCCAGCATTTGCAAGGTTTAAATATATTCGAGGTCAAATCTTCCACACTTTGCATTTTTTGTTAATGCAGTTTTAAATATTTCTATTTGAAAAATTGGTACGCATCGCAAACTTAATTTTCCATTCATTAAAAATAAAATTAAATAATAGATAATGAACCTCCGTGTAAATAACACTGATCACATACACAACATACTTTAAAAAGTTAAAATAAGACGTACTTTAAATGGGTAAAAAAATTATTAACTGCATGCGATATTTATTTTGTCATAGAATTATTTTTATTTATTTTTTTTCGTCTCTTATTCCTTATGTCCTAGTTTAAAATTAGGTAATTTAAGAATTGACATGCAGAAGCATTAAAATTTGAGAACCTCAACGCAGAACCTAAGAAATTCATCTTACATGCGCGCATCTATAGAATCACATCACTGCATGCGATGGACCTCACACATGATTACATCAGAAATTAAGATTTCCCTTTGCTGTACCTACCTATATATCATACTTATATGAGTTATGTATAGATTAGCACTTCAGTTACAATTGCGTAATTAATAATAGTTACTCTGTATAGTTCACGGATTTTTAAAAGGAAATTTGAGCAGTAGAAAAATGAAAAATAATCCTTATTTTATATTTTGTTTGTATGATAGAATTAACTTTATATTTTGTTTATGAGTTTTCAGGTTTTACGACTCAATATTTATGCTTCGGGGAAGATGCAATTTAAATGTGCTAATTAATATCAAAACAAATACTTAATTAGTACATTAATAATAGTTTTAATTCAGTTGCAATATCTATTGCAAAAACGTAGCAATTTTACAAAATTTTTATATATAGTACACAACTTTTTTTTTTTGTAAATTCAAACTTTTAACGCTAAAAATATTAGGGGGTTGAAAAGAAATCTCTAATTTACGTTTGGAATTTTTATTCATTTCTTTAGAATTTATTAATTGCGTTAATTAAAAGAAATATATTGATATGAAATTTAACCGATTAAAGATAATTTTACGAAACGACAACAACAATAATACATGATTTTTTTACTTAATTATTTAATTGTGAGCAGTATAAATTTTTCATGTGAGTAATTTTAAAGGAAAAAAGGATTTCAAAATTTGTCAAATCGTTTCCGAGAAATGAAATAATTTTTTCTACTAAAACAGAGATTAACAGCTTTGAAAGCAAAGTAGCTCGATTAAGCATTGCCACAGTTTGGAGCTGTAGTTCATCACTTTTGACATATATATATATATATATATATTTATACATTCNATATTATTTTATTTTATATTATTTTATTTTATTATTATTTTATTTAACGTTTTTACAGACATTTATTTAGTGTGCATTTAATTATTCTCTTCAGCTGTAATATAAAATAACACAAAAAAAATTATTATGAATGCTTAACCTAGAAATTGAAATAAACAAGCAATATGATATCAAACATAAATTCAAAATTCTTTAAAAATGAAAAAAAATAAAAAAAAATAATACAATTTATAAAAATGCGAATCGTTATACTAGGTTTAAAAATGAAATTTATAAAAAGTCTTATCATGGTTTCGGGATGTATCTTTTTTTTCTCTTGTTAAATTGGAATTTATTATCGACTATTGATTTAATAATTTTTTATTTGTTTGAGTTATTGCATTTAAATAATTTGAATCATCTAACTATTCAGTGTTTAATGTAAAAAAATACTAACATAAAAATAAATTGATTATTATAATTACATTCTCAACTTAATAATTTTGTTCAAGTTCCTTATGACAGGATTTTCCCGACAGGAAAATCAAGTTTCAACCAAATGAGTCTGTTATTGTTACCACAATGACGGATTAACGCCATCTATCGTTAAAGTGCTAACGCCATCTATTGCTGTCAAAAAGAACTGTTTTTTGATAAATGACTTTAAAAACTAAGGTTAAAACGGGCAGAACTAAGCAACTAATAGCGTAAACATTTAAAAATATTTCCGATTTTTTGTGTATAAGTTTCTCTCACTGTTTTCAACATGAATATTTAATTTGAATGCGGTGTTAGTTCAATTTCAAACAAAGAAACGCTGCTTTTATTAAAACATAACTTCAAATTTTTTTAAGTCACTTTCTAGATTTAATCTTATGGATTAAATTTATAATTTAATTTAATTTCTTTGGTATTGCTTCATATACTTTAATTTTTTAAACATTGAAAATCAATTAGTTTTTTTTTTTTTTGTATCAATGTCAGTTAAATGATAAAATGTATTTTTGCAGGCTCTCTCGGAATTGAAGTTCTTGATGTGTCAGCTAATTCTGCCAGAATTAAATGGGATTCTTCTCATTCAGAGTTGCTGCCTCAAGCTGTTGTATATTATTCACCTGTTTTTCGGGGACTGTACACAGAATGGACGAAAGTTGATGTGAGTTTATAAATTTTTCGTAAATTATAGCAACAATTATAATTTATACTTTTGAAAAAATATTAAATTAATATGTAATTGATTAAATGTTTTACTTATTATGTATACTATGAAAATTTAGTTGCCTCGTTATCATTGACTATTTATTGAATAGTGGATGTCTATAAATCTCATAAAATTGTTGAAAAACATAGTACAAACTATAACAGTATATTAAAGCTGTAATACTCGCATTTCTTACAGCACAGTGGTAAATAATTAATTCAATTAAATTGTTTCAAATATTGTAAAATACTATGAAGATAATGTTATTTTACTGTCCTGTAATTAAAATTTATTGCAGTTTAGTTTACGGCTCATTAGTTGATTTTGATTTATTAAGCACTGTTAATTCCCAATTGGTTATAATGTTAGTTTATGGTACTTATAACTGGATTATGTCATGGAAGTAAAGATAATTGAAACTATATTTAGAAACTTCAAATTTATATTTTTAAGAAATAAAATAAACAAATATATATATCTAATATTCTAATAAACTTTTGATGTCATTTTAAGACTAAAAATGTGCAACGGGTAATTAAGATGGGCAACTTAAACAAAATTCACAGTTGCTTGAATAATGGGATTTATTATCAATGGTTAATATTTATTATAAAGAAATAATTTGTTTTTCTGTATGGAATTATTATTTATGTAATTTGGAAATGTATTAATAAATATTGTAAAGCATAAATTTATAAAATTCTGATATTTTGTGTAAAACTATATTAAATTATTATACTTGTGTATGGCTTAATTATATTTGAATTATTCTTATTAATCAGCCAGTACTTAAAACTTCATTCAATTCAAATTTTAAAATTTTAAAGAGCAAATGTAGCTTTTTAATAGAAATTTACTATTACAGCAGTTATGCAAAAGCATAATTTTTGAATTCTTAAATACTCAGAAGATTGTTGGAAGCTCAAAAACCAATCTAAGGAAATCAATTTAAGAAATATGAATTATTATGCATTCCATTAATTGATAAAATATAAAAACTTAAAATTGTAAAANTATATGGCTTAATTATATTCGTATTATTCTTATTTATCAGCCAGTACTTAAAACTTCATTCAATTCAAATTTTAAAGAGCAAATGTAGCTTTTTAATAGAAACTCACAATTACAGCAGTTATGCAAAAGCATAATTTTTGAATTCTTAAATACTCAGAAGATTGTTGGAAGCTCAAAAACCAATCTAAGGAAATCAATTTAAGAAATATGAATTATTATGCATTCCATTAATTGATAAAATATAAAAACTTAAAATTGTAAAAGTTATCAAAGGCCCCTTAGCAAAATTATGAATAATAAAATGCTTGATTTTAGTTTAAGAATTCCAATAATGTAAAAATATAATTTATGTAGTTTTTTAATCTAATTTTGTAATATTGAATTAAATTGTATGAGCTTTTACTTTATAAATATAGCTTTTGTGAATCATTTCCTTGTATTGAAAATGAAATCAAACAATCCTATGACCAGGGGTCTGTCCAGGTTTTTCTGAGAGGTACCTATTTTGTGAAAATTTAGACATAATTTGTGAAAAATTAAAAATTATATTTAAAAATCCAACACAAAAATATGGCAAGAATATGGATTTATCATTTCTTAAGGAATACAAAAATAGCATTTTAAGAAAAAATATTTTGTGAAACTACCGTTTTTCCTAAAGTTGAATTTGTGAAGGTACCGCTAAACGGTAGTAAATTCGGTGTGGACTGACCCCTGATGACGAAAACAAAACATTCAGAAATGATTATTATTGTATCTTAAGGATATTTTTAGTAATTAAATAAGTCGAGTTTAATAATATTAATTGGGCTAAACTTTTTATAAATATATTATTTATTTATTTTTCAATTATGTAAGAATAATTTTCTTTCTTCCTCATATTATCAAGTTGTGTCAAGAAAATACTTGATCTAGATTTTTTTTCCTTAGGGTGTTAAGCCAATTTTTAAATTGGAAAATCTTCTACCTGGAAAAGTTTATTATGTTAAAGTTGAAGAAGATGGTAAACAAGAAATATCCACTTTCAAGACTAAAGGTAGGTAGTTTTCAAAAAACCAATTTCTCTCATGTTATTTAATTAGAAGGTTAAAAGTTTTTACAATTTTACTCATAATAGTGTTTCAGAGACTTAAATTCTTTAGTAGGGCCTTATAGATTTTAAAATCAATAAATGTTTGTGCTATAATTCGAATAAAGTGTTGTCATTTTTGTCGACAAAACTGTTTCTTTTATTTTAACGGAAGCGCAATACCCCTTAAAACCATACAATTGAAAATATAATGGTTGTAGTTTGAATTTTTCTTGAACCTTCAAAAAAATAGTGATTAAGTCCAAATAGTCATTAGACTAAACCAGTGTTTCCCAAGCTTATGGCTTTTATGTACCCTTTCTAAATTTCTCGTAACGCTGTGTGCCACTAATAAAAAATGAATGTATCTTTTACTCTAAAAAAATTACACAAAAGTTAAAAATCACAACTGGCTGTTGACACCACTAATTATTAACTGTTTACTCTTTTAAAAATGGCCAATAGAAAAATACATAATCGTAAATTTTCATGACTAGCTTTGTTTTTAAATAAAAGTTTTTGAAATTTCCGTTTGTTGCGAGATATTTCGCATAAGAACGCGTAACCCTGCCAAACTTTTCCCATACCCCTGGGGGTAAGCATACCATACTTAGGGAAGCACAGCTCTAAGCCTTAGGTACTAACCCAACTACATATATATATATTTTCTAATTTCGTTTTTGATACAAAGACTCACTTATTATTTATCTATTATTATTCTCATTGTTATTGTTTTACTGTATCTGTATGAGAAAAATTGCATTAGCTACAAAATTAATTATATATATAAATTTTTTTCTTTCATTTAGAAAATGTCTTGGGAAACATGCCTAAAGTTTTGGTCAAACAGAAAAGTCAAACTACTTTGACTGTTGTATGGGATGATTTTCGTTTACCTAGTTATCATTCTGAATACGTACTTGAATATAAACCTGCTGATGAAAGTAATCAAAGCTGGACTAAAGTGAAGGTACAGTTTATTTCTGTTTTGCATGTGTTAAAATTTTTCTATAAGAGAACATTAATGTTTATAAAATTAATTTGTGAAATTTATTTTTACATAATATTAACAATATTTCAAAATTTTTGATTTTATTACATTTAAGTATGTTATATGTATAATACTTCAGTTTGATAGAATATTGATCTTTGTGCATGAATATTAATTTATGTTGTTTTATAGACTGGAACTCAGACAATTGTGACTGTTACACATTTAGAACCCAATACACCATACAATGTGAAAGTAGCTGTTTGGGAAGATGATAAAATGGAACTACCCTCAGAAGTCATTACTGCATATACAGCTGGTAAAGTCATCATAACCATACAATTATTATGCTAAAAATAATTTGATTTAAAAAGAAATATATAAACTTCTCTTTTAATATTTTTTTGTAAAGGTTTTTTTCCACTTCCTAAAATCAACTTTACTTTATTTACTTCAACTGATAAAGTATTTAAAATCTAAAAAATGAAGAAAAAAGAATTATTTGAAATTATCATTATAAGTTCAATACAAAATAATAATTAAGAATGAAAGTTTTTTGGGGGGAAAACATTATTGTTTCAGTGGTCTTTCACACTGCTGGTAGGGAGCTAGAATTCGTACGTTCAGTCTTGACAGCCCATTAAATAGCCAGTATGTATATAGCAGATTGCACTTTAAATCTCTTGTTGTTCAAAGTCATCTCATTAATTGTAGCAAAAAATATGGAGAGAGGGGGTACCAGATCAGGTTCTATCCATGTTTGATCTAGTTAAAAAATATACAGAATTCCTACCATGGCAGTTTAAAGATATAGCTCTAAAAAACTGGGCAATGTGCTTGGTCATGGTTGGTTGTTGTGTGTAACCCACATAAAAATAAAGAGCAGATTTTGTAAGAAAAATTTCAAAACTTAAATTGGTAAAGATTTTGATTAGTGTTTATAAATTATTCCCTAGAGTTTCAAATTTCCACTCATCAGCTTACCATTACCGATCAAATATTTAAGAATCGAATAAGTTTCATCTTTTAAAAGAATTCAATTTAAAACTATGTCTTGTATCCAAATTTTTTATGTATGTAAAATAATGGGGAGCCTAAATTTTAGTCCTGTAGCTTCTTTAGAACTGAAATTAAAAATGTATGTTCACGGTTTGATATAGAATTAGTTTTTCTTCTCTGCCTCTTTTGATTATTTTCAATGTTATGCTTATTAAAAAATAAATAGGACAAAAGTTTTATGAGGTGTTAAAAAGAAATAAATGTTGAAAAAAATGAGTCACACTTTTTTTTAATGTTTTAATTAATATCTATTATGTTTATTCATCAACTAAATTTTCTAGTCAACTGTATAAAGTGTTACTTCAATATTTTTTTGCAATGTACTATAAATTATATCACAAAATAATGATAATTTTTTTTTTATAATTTAGATGGTTGTGTAGTAGATAATAAAATATACAATGTTGGAGAAGAATATTTTATTGAATGTGATTCTAGATGTACTTGTGATGGAAATAACAAAACAACCTGTTCTCCTCGATGTAATTCACCTTATGTAAAACTAGGCTCTAACAATGCAGATCCATTATGTTATGAAAAACCACTATCTTCTGATCCATGCTGTGTAACTATAAGATGCTCAAATAGCAAATACTCCATAGAGACTGAAGGTTGGTAATTTTTATCTTTAATTAAATTTTACGTTTCTATATGTTTAGGAAAACGGTCATTTTGCAAAATGTAAGAAATAAATATTTACTACAGGACATAAAAATGCTCTCGATTAATATTAACAGTACATAATAAAAGAACAAATATAAAACATACAGAAGAATTCAATGCTTGTTCGAAGTCAATGCAATTTTTTTTCCTCATTGCAATTAAGAATTTGAAACTGATTGCAATGCTTCAATAACTAGAAGAAAACTGAAGAACTCTGTAAAAGAAATTTTCATTTTTAATTAATTAAAATCAGTAAAATAATGTTTAAAAAATTTTATGAATTTAAATATAACAATATCTATTTATTTAATTTGAATACATTTAAATTTGATGTTTGATAATTATGTGTTGGATTTATATTTTTTTCTTATTTTATACTTAATTTAAGCAATTAAAAGAGAATTAACAATTTTAGTACACGAGGAATAACTGTTGTGATTTGTTAGGCAATAACTTATGATCTAAGGCAAACAACGTTAAAGAGCACAAAATTATTAAAGAGCACAAAAATATGTATTTTATAATATTTTTGTGCTCTTTAACATTGTTTGCCTTAGTTTGTATTTTAGCACAGAGATTGCCCACCTGTGTATTTAATAACTTATGATGTAAGTAAAGAAAAGTGTTGAAAACAGATGAGCTGATTTTAAGTGTTGATAACCAATGAATATGAAACATTTAATAACTTTATTGTTGCAATGTTCAATTTTTTTAAGTATTAACTTATTTTTGATTGCTTTCATGCATGTTTTTTTTATCTATTTATTTAAGTGTCTTAAAGGCCAATGAACGTATAATTCATACTAATTAAGTATTCACATGTTCCCTATCATGTTATTTAAATTTTAAACTTGATTATTTATTTGTTAGGTGTTAAAAATAAGACAGGAGACTGTCCTGAAATATTAGAAGGACCTGAAGCTGAAGAAAAGTCATGTTTATCTGACTGTGATCATGATGGTGACTGCGATGGTAATTTGAAATGTTGTCCAAGCTCTTGTGGTGGGGCTGTATGTGTACAGCCATTGATGGCTGAAGGTAGATTTATTCATTGTTTCATGCAACTTTTTGTTTTTAAAAGTTTAATAAGATTGATAATTTTTTGAAAAGACTGCAATAATGAATTTACACTATGTAATAAGTTGTTATTGTTGGATGTTATTTTTTTTTAAAAAGTTTTTATGTGCTTGTTTTTTTATTTATTTTTTTAAGTCTTCCCATTTCAAAAAAGGTTAAAATGTTTTTTTTTATGTATAAAAGAGTATATTGTTAGAATTTATATGCATTAAAATTTATATATGTTACCGTTAAAGTATATAATGCCTTTATTTTATAGATTACCTAGTTATTCTATGAAATAACTAGGCATTCTATAAATTAACTAATGAGAGACAGTTAAAGTGTAAAATAAACAATTTATCTAAAATAAAATAACTAGGTATTCTATAAATAAACTAATGATAGACAATTAAAATGGAAAAGAAGCAATTTATCTAATTTATGCAGCGTATAAATGGTATTTATGGAAACGTACCAAGAAATCATTTGTTACAACAAGGATTACTAAAATGACACTTGGAATTACAAAGAACATTATTTCTAAAACAAAAACATTTTTTGTTGACACACTGGGTTTTACACGAACATTTTTTAAATCCCTGACCAGTACCTAAACTTTGAGCTGTAGCATATAGATTATTTTACACTTTAACGGACAGCAGATCGTTATTCTATGAAATAACTAGTTAAACCATGAAATACAAGAGAGTTTTACACTTGAACGGGCACGATCAGTTATTTCATGGAATAACTAGGTATTCTATAAAATAACGGATTTCATACTTTAACGGTAACATATACATTAAAGAAAGAATATTTTTTGTAAATTACTGTTTGCAATAAAATTAAGGTTTTGTATTTTTCTTTATTTTTTTTTTCTAAAATTTTGAGTTTTAAAACTGTTTTTTTTGTTTTAGAATTGTTATAAATAATGAAACTAAAATATATTCTCAGAATCTTTTATTTTCATAATGGAAATATGAAAATATAAAATTTTAGAATCACTAATAAACTAACTGAAAGTGTAAATTCAAAAAAGATATTTCTCTAGGAAAAATATATTTTATTTCAAACTGGTCTTATTTGATAAATTTTGATTTGTTTATGTGTAGTTTTAATTTGCCAATTTAATATTCTTTAATGATAAAGTACTTTTTGTGAGAAATATTAATAAGCTTTTACAGTTGCCTTGTCATGTGTAAAAAGTGTTATTATAATATGAAAAATATTGCAGATATATGTGAACATATTTACTGTGGACAGAATGCAAAATGTGTGTCTGAAAAAATGTCTTGTGAATGTGCTGATGGATATACAGGAAATCCTCATGATTTCATGATAGGTTGTTATTTAGGTGAGCATAGTTATTTTCATTCTGAAAATATTAGGTGAATAATATTTCATTTTCTCTTGTTTTATTACTATATGCTTGTAATTTTTCTTTTGTTTTTAATTGATAGTCTTTTGGATAAGTAGGTGCATTATGAGTGGGCAATATTTTAGCAATATCTTTGTTGCCAATTCTATTATGCAGAATTTAAGTATGCATGAATTATCTAATTGTATGCCAAAATTTTGTTCAACAAGCCCTCTATATAACAAGTTTTATTTCCTGTACTTCAATATTTATTGCATATGCATTTCAATAATTATTGCTCTTTTTTTAATTTTTTAGTACTCTTCTAATCTTTATTAATCTTCTTTTCCAGCATTGTATTTTCAATTTCTGTTTTTAAAAATTTTTAATTTTTCTTATTCATCTAATCTTCATTAATCTACTCTTCCAGTATTGCATTTTCAATCTTTGTTTTTAAAATTTTTTATTTGCTTTTAGTTTTAAATTATTAATACCGCACTACATTACACCTTATTCATTTCACTAAACATCTGATTTTTTGGCTTTTTCACAAACAGCATGCAAAATATGGCCGGTTAAGGCAATTTTCACATTGCTTTTTCTTGTAAAATTGCTACAATTCATTTTGGTATCAAACATTGGATTTAAAAATATATTGTAGTAATATCTATTTTGCATATGTTCTGGAACAAAAATTTTAATCACTGTTGATCGGTTGAACATGTGCACCAGATATTGCTTGACAAAACTATGATGTCTAATTTAATTTAACCAGAAATTTATTCGATCCATAATTTTGGGGAAACTAACCAATAAAATGTGCCAAGGGTGTGAGATTGAATAATCACTTTTAAGGAGACGTACTTAGATTATTAAAAAATTTAAGGGAGCATGCTGTTGTGTAAACTAGATCATATTATGAAATAGGTTTCTTCTCTTGAATAAATTATTATATCATGCAAGAATTTATTTGTGTTTTTTTGATAAACAAAAATGTGTGTAATAAAATTAATTAACGGTACTGTAGTTGTATACTTGTTTATGGTAATCAGAGCTAAACTTTGGACAGCATACATCTATATCTAAGTTTGCTGAATGACTAAATTTGATACATGAACTATCTATATCATAGTTGACATTTTGAGTCTACTATTTTTTAAATATCAATCTGTACTGTTTAATCATTAATAATCATTATTAACTAAAACTTTTGCCTCTTTTTAATAGCTAACTCAACAGATACTGTTTTGAATGGCACACAGTCAAGTAGGTCAGGATTTCATTTAAATTTGGATGATAAAGATGCCTCTGAAGAAAATTATACCAATAAAACTATTATTTCTGAAGAAAAATCTGATGAATCAGAATCAAAAAATGAGTTAGAAACTGATAACCATGAACCCAAAATGCCAGTTGCAACTGAACCTCCTTTTCAACTTGATCTTACTTCTAACAGTAATCACAGTATGGATTCTTTAAATATTTCTGCTAATTCAGATGTCATGTCTAATAATTCTGCTGAAACAATTATCAATGAAGAAGAAAATTTCCATTTTAAGAAACCACAAGACGTAGATTCAAGAAGTATGGTTCCAACTGAGATGAAGTCGGAGGAAAATTCAAATACAGAGCCTGAGGGTATTTTATTTTCCATAAAATCTATAATATTACTTATTTTTAAGGCGCTATACAATGGGGAAAAAACTTTCATAGCAAATTTTTTCTCACCTCTGCTGGTATTTCAAGGTATGAAAGAGATTGAGTTCAGGTATAGAATAAACCATGAAATTTTTTTTAAAAAAATTAAAATTAAATTTCCAAATGTAAAAAATTGCAATAGAATTACTCAGGATAGTGCAGTAGTGAATTAATCTAGTCATGAATTTTTTGCACTTTGGTACTCTGAATTTTCAGTATTAAATATTTCAAATTTTATTCCTGGTTTACCTGAACTCACTATTTCTATTCTTTAAATTTTAAAATATCAATGATCATGAAGTAAAATTTGCCATTAATGGTATTTTCCATGGTATTGTGTCATCTTACTGTGAAAATTGTCTTATTTTGGTGTCTATCTGGTATTAAGAAACCAGTAAGGCTATTGAAAGGATATTATTAAACTTTATGCCATTTTTCAAGTAATGTTAGTCTTTATATTATTGTAAAGATATTTTATTTCAAAAAAATCAATTTCTATTTTATATTTAAAATGAACTATTTTTTAATTGTTTTGTAACATGTGAATTTCATGGTGCATGAACACATGTTAACACATTTGACATTAGAATCAAAACTCAACGTTAAATTTATTTAAAAAATGTCAATTCTAGGAATTAAATATATATTTAAATAATATTTAAAATATGAAGCATAGGTACTATAATATAAAATAACTATTTGATATTTTTTTAACTGTTAAAATATTTAAAAGTTTTATTGAAAAATTAATAATATTTTACTTTTTATAAAAATATGTGCACAAAGGCACATATCTGGCACCTAGTCTAAAGCATATCAAAAAGCTAAATTAATCATTTTACTCAATTACAGAAAAATGTGATATAATAAACTTGGATGGTTAATAAGATTCTTAGAAAATGTCCTTACAAGTGCAGAAGCTTATTTGTTACTTTAAAGTCTTTGTTGTGCTGATTGAGAATGTGTTTTTTTAATTTTGATTCTTTGTTAACTTTTGATTTTGAAACTATTATTTTGAGATTTTATTATATAGTAAAAAACTTTTTTTCAGGTACGCAAATGCTCTTCGATGGTTGTGAATATAATAATATCACTTATGACAGAGGAGTTAAGTTTGAAGATGGATGTGAAGCTTATTGCACATGTGAAGGAAGAGGACATGTATCATGTGTGCCTAGATGCACTGTTCTTTCTGCGGGTGGTCCTACATGCAAAGAAGTTCAAGATCCGGATGATCCTTGTTGTAAAATTATGCTCTGCAGCTTTCCTGGAAGTACTGAAAAAGAACAAGTTGAAAGTAAATATTTTCTTCCTTTATTTTTTCAATTATTGATTTCAATTTTAATAAAATTTATAGCTTATATATTTTATTATAATTTTCAAAAATGTTCATTTTGGAATTTTATTGTACTTGAAAAATAATTTACGTTTTACTTTTGATTATTGTTTTTTATGAGTTATTAATATTCTACGTTTTAGCTTTTTTTCCTAACGATTGATTTTTACCTTCACTATTTAAAAAGTTTTCCAAAGAATTATACTTTATTGCTGTATGTTTATGAATTATTACTTTCTTCCCAAATGTTTACTAAGTTCAAAATGCCCAAATTAGTCTGACATGTTAAAATCTTTGGAAGGATTTTTCAGTTGTTCTTATTATTCTAATTCAAGCTGATAATTTTTTTAAACATTCCAGTAATACATTAAATGAATGAAATTTATTTTTAAAATCTATTTTGATTTTAGACATATTTTCTTGTAATAAATACTTTTCATAGTAAAATTTTTTTCATTTCTTCAGGAAATTTCTATAAAATTACACCAAATGTATTGTTTGAAGTATTAACAGCAAAATTAAGATTATTTATGTATGTTCAATTCTAGGTTTACCTCTGAAAATTTTGTCTGCATTAGCCCAAAATGGTACAGCTGTTCGTGTACGTTTAGCTCTGTCAATATCTCAACTTCCTTCAATGGCTGGAAGAGATTCATTAGAAGTGTGGTATCGAGAATCATCTGACAGTGAGAATGATCTTTCGCAGTGGAATAAGAAACACTTAACACAAAAGGATTTGACTGAAGTTCAGCAAGGGGTCTTTGAATTTGATATTCATGATTTAATACCTCAAACAGATTATTACATCAAAGTTGGAAAAGAGAATCAAGGGACACCCAACCTCAATATGGCTGAATTCAGCAATACTGTTAATGTAAAGACCTTCGCTGCTGGTATGTTCTTGTTTAAAAAGTTGTAAATATGTTAAAAAAATTTGTTATTTTTGAATCTTATATGTGCAAATGTAACGGTTTAAGTTTGGATTGTGTTCAGTTAAAGTTAGGGATAGAAACATTTAAAATTTTAGTCTTAAGAAAATTTAGTCTCTTGTCCACAAGGCCAGTAATTAAAAGATATAACTATTCAGTACACTATGTTCACTGATTTATTTACATGTATTTATTAGAATTTTTTTAAAAAAAAAAACGATAATTACCAAATAGAAGCTATTACATTGAAAGGTGCCAACCTGCCTGTAAGGTAGTCAGAGAGCTGACCTCATGTCATAATAGTCCCAGGTTCAAATCCCAGTCAAAAACAGGGATGTTCTTCTTTCTTCTGTGTTCCATCTGTCCTTCATGTTGTAGAGGTCACATTGGTACACCTTATATTTTGCCCTTTGAATGAGTGGTCATCACATCTGCCTTGATATCCGAAAGACAAATGTCAATATATGGGTGGAAAGCCCACCCATATATTGTAATTTGTGAAAAAAAAAGTTTATGGAGGAAAAAAATGAGGAAATATGCTATTTTGTGACCAAAACTCAGATTAAAGCACACAAATATTACAGCATACCATCCATTTGCATCCATTGTTAGTTAAATGTGAGCAGTGATTATTTATTATATGGTGGTCCAAGTCAAGATTTAGTGATCCGAGACCAGAGAACCAATATTAATTCAAACGTTAATTAAAATTTTACAGTTTTAACTAAATTTAAATAAAGTGCTGTGTGTTAAATAAAGTGCTAGTGCTGTGCAAAGTTAGGTGCAAACAGCCTTTGTTTTTAANGTAACGAAACTGCAGATTTCTTGGCCAAAAAAGCCGCCAAGATTCTACAAATATCCCTTAAGCCAGTTCCTTCCCACACCGCGAAAAGGCTAATAAAAATCTCTCTGCGAGCAACATTTGAAGCAAAACTCCAAGAAGCAAATGAAAATAAGGACTGGTTGGAAGGAATTAAAGATATTCCGTCATGGCCAAGAGAAAAATCTGTGGCCCTTTTTCGCCTCGCCACTGGCCATGACTGTTTATCAAAACACCTGTATAAAATTAAAATCTTTTCAAGCCCCCTTTGTCCATTATGTAACCAACAAGAAGAAATGGACGCTAACCATTTAAGACATTGCCCTGCACTTCCTCCCGGGCCCTTGTGGGAACGATATTGGCGGGCGAGATGCATTATTTCAGACCTATAGACTCCTTATTTTTGTAGCTCTTGTTTCCGTTTTTTGTTCTTTCTTTATATTGTTCTTGGCTACAAATTTGTCTTTCATGTCTGCCATTGGAAATAAAAAATATGACACAAAGCACAATAAGTAAAAGTAAAGTGAATTTATTTTTAACAATCCTTCTTCATAATACTTTAAAAAGTTTACTATCATTTTGGCCGGATTTTCATATGATACTCAGCTAATCAAAGAGTGCCAAATTGTTGTTTTTTTTTTTTTTTGCTAAATAGTTACTGTCGAGTCATTTTTCATTTTAATTCTCAGGTTTAGTAATACATATTTCTATATAAATTTATTATATATTTTAATTGCTTAGTTGAATGGATGATAGAATGCAAATTTTAACTGATACTTATTACTTCTTTTCCACAGCTGTAAAAACAGTTTTCCAAGGCTGCTTTCATCACAACCAATCCTATGCTTTGGGTGAAGTGTTTTATCAAGGTTGTGAGCACAAATGCATTTGCCGAGAAAAGGGTTTTATTGAGTGTCAAGATCGATGCGAAATTTACATCGACACAGTTGGCTATGAAGGATGTGATTGGGTACCTTCAGAAGAAGATTCATGCTGTATGATTCCAATGTGCAATCGCCGTAAAATTCCTCTAATGCCTGATGGACGAGTACCCTTTACAAGTAAGAAAAAAATTATTTTGTGTATAATATCTGTCATAGTTACAGTTTATTGAAATATATTTGCATGTTGAGAAATATGGTAGTAAAAATCTAAATTTTTAATCATCTAATAGGGATTTTCATAGATTAGAATTCTAAGCAATTGTATTGTTCAATTATTTTGTTTTACTGTTTTTTTTTAACATTTATGCTGTACATTTTGATTTGATTGTTAAAAGTGTTCTAGAACCTAACTAGTGTGTTAAAAGTGTAAGCACACTAAGATTCATAATTAGTGATAATCTGAAAATAACAAAAACTGTATGCTTGCATTTGCAACATACTCTATTAAGATAGGAGATCGAATTGATTTAATTTACATATCACACTCACCAACCTCTCAATCATGTGCAGAATTTTTTAACTCTGCTACTGATGGGAATAGTACATAAGAATGGATAAGGAATCACCACATTTATCAATTTTTATATCAATATTACTTAAAAAAAGGATATGTTTATTTAGAAAATGAGCAGCTGGTAAGTCTTTGAATAACTTTATTAAATTTCGGAAGTCTAATTGCCACAAAAGAACAATATGAATTAATAATAATTATCATTATGAAAGAAAAAAGAGTTTTGGCAGTAATAAATTTAATTAGGAACGTGTAGACATATAGATGATAACATTATCTGACAAGCAGAATACTTGAGAAGAACAAAAACAATGCAATTTTACAAGTTTCTACTTCCATGACTCTTCAGTCCTGAATGTTGTGGGAATACTTTGCTTTTTTATCAAGCAAATTAAAGTGCATGAGAAAATATCAACAAAAGAGATTTTACAAAGCAAGATAGGACAATCGTTTATTTCAATTTATAAATGAATATTAACTATATTTTAAAAAAAATTCTCATTTATTTATCTAATAAATTTTAAAAAAATCTCTCTCATAATATGTCTGGTGATTAATTCTTTTATTTAAAATTTTTTATTGTAACTTTTCACAATATAATCAGAAAAAATTTATTCCAAAAATAACTATAATAAATATTGTGTATTTATTTTTATTCTGTGCAATATTTAATTATCTTAGTATTTTCTATGTTTATCTATCTTGGAATCATGAAATATCTATTTGTAGGCGCAGCTGAAAACTTGTGCATTGTTGACAACACTGAAGTGTACAGAGTAGGAGATATTTGGGAATTAGAAGATGGCTGCAAAACTAAAATTTGTCGATGTACCCTTCTCGGGAATGGTAATACAAGTATTCAGTGCCAAAGTCAATGTCCACCTCTCGCTCCAAATGCTCACATACCCACAGCACGTTGTCCTCATCCAGTGCTCATTAAACCAGATGGGCCATGCAATTGTCCATATGTTGTCTGCAATGATGCTCCCAGGCGTAAGTTGTTTATACTTAAGCATTTTGTTTGAGGCGTGCAGTCTTTTTTCACTCTATTAAGGTATTTTCAAGGATGTGATTTAGTAGACCATACAATTGCTTCAATTCACCTTAACTGCTCCAAGATAGATGATTTTTCCTCTAAATTGTTTCAAATCTATAGCATTTCACCATAGATTCCACCAAACTTTTGCAAATTGCCTTTTTTGAAAATTTAGTAATACCTGCTCCTTTGAAGATTTAGTAAATTCGAGTTAAACTGTATCATTGATACATTTTTTTGCGTCATTAAGGAAAATTTATTTCTATAGAAATTTTATTGAATAAAGCAAAACTGCTAATATACATCATTATAAAATATAAAGTGTAATATATTCATGTTTTTTCTCACATTTATTTATCTGTACAAGTATTTTTGTAAATAATACGGAAATATATATAACATTGCTGAAGAATTGAATAATGAATGTGTTCTATTTGAGAATTCTAATACATCCTCATTTATTCTAATACATCCTCATTTAATAAGAACTGGTAACAAAAATGTAGCATATGAGTATAAATATTCACTTTTTGTTAAAGCAAACATTAATTTTTTTTCAAAAGAAATAAAATTTTCATGAATGTAAAAGTTGTTTTGCTAACTGTTCATTGCATTTGGTTACAACTTTATCAATAATTTATGCAATTATTTTTCCTTTTAAGGTGCAAACTTTCTTCTATAAGGCTTTTTATTTTGAAGATTTGAATCACAGGTTTATAGTTATTAAAAATATTTGTGAAATTTAAACTATTTTGTAGTAAACTTAGTTTCAAGATATTTTTTTAAAATTAATATGTAAATATGGGTGATTTATTTATTGTTTATTTATTTATTCTTCAAATCGGTATGGTTTTTCATTTAATATAAGAAATATAACTTGTAAATATGTGTTAAATTTAACCGTTATACTAATTTGCCAAATTTGTACAAAAAAAATTTCTTTGTCAAGCATATTTTTTCGTTGTATAATATGGAAGAGAAATTGATTTAGTGTGCAGATAAACTACGAGCTTTTACCTCATGCTAAACTTGCAGGAGAACTGTTATTCTGATTGTAATAATACCTTTTAAAAATAAATTGTAATGTTTTATAATTTGAGAATGCACCTCACACTTTTATCTTTCTTTCAGGTATTCAACCACCTCGCCCACAGTGTGAGTTTAAGGGTCAGCGATATGATATGGGTCAAGAGTTCCATGATGGATGCATTGCCCTTTGTCACTGTGGACAAGATTTGAGAGTGAATTGTGCTGCTATAGAATGCCCTTATCATTTCTCTGCTGATATTACTAACTGTTTAGAGTGGGACATTGATCCTCATTTTTTCCCTACACCCCCTCATTGCTGTGCTCCGGCTAAATGCAAAAATGGTATGTAAGGGTATCTATTTTATAGATTTAGATTTTTGACTTATTATAAAATCCCTCATGTATTTCATTTAAAATTAAGTAGTGGAATATGGCGCACAAGTTTTTTATTGTTGTACCATTTTAATGCCGTCACTGTGCTTGTATGTTTTATTTTGTTATAAATATATGAAATAATTATTAAAAAGTACATTATTTTCTAAGAAACAATGACTTTACTTTCTGCTGAATTACTTATTTCACCTTATCCAGAGACAAAAAATTTATTTATTTCATCATTATCAAAATTTAGCTGATTAAATAAGAGCAATCAAACTTTAACTTTTGAATTAGAAAATAAAAGTGCAAAATGTAATGTTAGTAGAACTCATGTTAAAATACTTTTGCTTTAAATACAACATAGTTGGTTGAAATACCAACATTAAGGTCATATCAGTAATTAAAATGAATATACAGTCAAGTTCTATAGTGAACCTTCAAGGGACCTAAATTTTGGTTCACTATAAGCGGGAGTTCACTATATCCGTTACGCAGGCAATTTAACTAATGGTTCCCAAACTCCTCTCTTTTATTACACATTAATTAAATAAATGACTGAAAAATATTATTTAGTAGCGAAAAATGTGTTATTTTTCATTACTCTTCGTCTTGCTTACAAAAAAAAACCAAATATTTAGTAATCTTTAGCTGATGAACAATCCTGACAGAAAATTCATAGTGATCCCACTGACACCTTACAGGTGCACTATCTGCCAGGGTTGGAAATATCTGCTTGGTTTGTTTAGGGATGGGAAAGTGAGATAAAAGAAGCTTATCGCTAAATTCCCCTCTATAGATGGTTTTAAAAATCGGTATATGTATTTATTTTAAAGTAAAAATTTCAAAATTATTACAAAAAAAATGAAGAAAAAANCAAAATGTAATGTTAGTAGAACTCATGTTAAAATACTTTTGCTTTAAATGCAACATAGTTGGTTGAAATACCAACATTAAGGTCATATCAGTAATTAAAATTAATATAATTAGATAATTATTGTTAAAAAATCATTAGATATTGATTTAATGTAATTAGGAATTCAGTTAAAACTGTATGACAAAACATGTTGTAAATTTAACTAAAAATTTCTCTTTCTCTAGATGGCTCTTGCTTGTTAAATGGAAGAAAGTTTGAAAACTTCCAGGAAATCCATGATGAACTTCTGCCTTGTGGAACAAGATGCTTTTGTGTCAATGGTAATGTAACCTGTGAAAATACATGTCCTCCAGTTGCAGATGTGCCACCTGTTGAATTACCTTGTTCTCCAAACCTGGCCTTTAAAGGTTATGCACCTGGTGAAACATGTTGCTTGAAATGGATGTGTAAAGAACCTCTAAAACCTAGTAAGATTTTGTGCTGTGTTTTTTAACCTATATTATATCAAATAAACATGTTGAATACAACTAGTAAATCTTTGCTAATACAAGTGCTAAGACCCAGCCGATAATTAACCCACTGTGAATCCAGAAGAACCTAAACACCATTTATAAAACCATAAAACAGTAGGTACAAGTCCATTTTGGTATTTAGCGGACCACTGTGAGGTCGCAAGTTCGTAACTTAAGCCAAGTGAATCCAGTGGAACTTAATAAATAAACTTTACAACATTAAAACACTAGTCATTGATCCACAATGTCAGACAAATCCCCAAACACAGCATTCCTAGAATAACAATGTAGCTTTGTTGTCTCATGGCAGATTCTAGGGAATTCTTTATAGTATCTGCAGGATAAAAGCTCTAATGAAACCGATCGGAATGCTAATAGTCAATAGTGTAGTAGTGTCAATGCTAATAGTGTAGAAGAGAAATTAATTGTTGGTTAGTGAAATTAATTGTTACTGTGTGATGATAAAGTTGTTTTTACCATTCAAAATAATTTTTGGAAATAGAGATCAGCATGATTTAAAATTAAGTCTGCTTTTGAATGTTTTAGAGCTGTGCAAGAAGCCTTTAAATGGACTACAGTAAAGGATGATTGTATTATAGATCAAAGCTATTATGATAGGGTTCAGAATCTGATTTTTTTGGTGTGGCTATCATCAGTAAACGATTTGTCGATGATATTCTCTGCCTTTCTATCATAAAAGGCACTAAACTTTGCTAATTATATTGAAGGAATAATACGCAATTTTATTAACATATTTGTTATAAAATATTTCATATTTGTATTGCACTACTTTATTTGTAACCTATGTATAGTGTAATTTTAAGTTCTATATAAATCATTTACTCTTGAAGAGTCACAACAAAAAAAATTGTTTTATTTTTGTAGATTATTGCATGTTTCAAGGATCTCGATACTTAGTGTCTGAGAAATGGGATGTACAGGATTCAAATCAACAAAAATTGTGCAGTTGTATACTGGCTCCCGGAGAAGAAATACCACATGTTGATTGCCGTGGGGGATGTCCACCAATTCCTCAGAAATTTATGTCCCCTACTGAACAGTGTCTTCGTCCTGTTATTGTTACTCCAGACAATCCACTTATGTGTCCCTATGCTTTATGCAATAATACTGTTGGAGGTAGTGCTAATAATTTATATTTATTCTTTTTTCTAATATTCAAATATTTAGGCAGATATTTTCATGCACTTTATTCATATTTAGATTTATTTACTATGCATATTAATACATGTGCAAAACTAGTAATAAACCGTAAGTAATACAAAAAAAGTTAAAATAGCTGAATAGTATCAATTCCTAAAATAGACATTAATCTTTTCTCTTATAGGGGTTTGTCACTATATTTTGTGCAATTGGTTTAATAGCTATTTTGACTTAAAATTTTCTAAAATTAATGTTTTCTGAAATGATTTCAAAAGCTTAATTAGTAAAGTTTCCTTAATTTAATTAATTCATTTATTTTATTGTTATTTTATTTGTATGCTAAAATTGGTTTACTTTATTAACACTTTTCTGATTTCAACTTTTTAATTTATTCTCTCTTTTTCATTTTTTCCCCTCTTGAAATATGTTGTTTTTAATTCAATTTTGCAACTTATGTAAGCTCTTCATCATATCTATATTTCAATAAAATTTTAAATACCTAAATAAAATTTTTACATTTATTTGTAACATTAAATTTAAAAGATAAATTTCTTATGCAATACACATCAGTGAACAGCACCTGCATTTAAATTTTTTAATAAAATCATCAATGCACCTACTAAGTCTTATTAAAACAGAGTAAGTTATAATCACTAAACTTTTAATTCAATTACTTCAATGAATCAATCAAACTATACAAAAAACAGATTCTAAAAAGTTTTAAAAAATCTATACTCATTATAAATTTTAATAAAAAATTATTACAAGGCTGCTACTGAGCAGGGAAATCAGGGAAAACAAGAAAAAGTCGGAATTTTATCACACTGGAAAAATTAAAAAATTTATCTAAAATACCCCAAAAGTCAGGGAATTAATTTTGATAATGTGCCTAAAAGTCTGTTTTTTCCCTCAAAAAAATTTAATTCATAATATTTTTTTTTTCTTTCTTAAAAAAGTGTTCAGATAAAGGGTATTTTGTTAAAGAAAATTTCTTTTAGCATGGGATATTTCCGAAAAATTAATGCTACCGGTTACAAAAATCAGAGCGATTCGATAAAATCAGTCTAGAAAAATCGGAAGTTTTTGTATTAAAATAAAATGGTGCTTTTAAATTGTTTTAAAGAAATTTATTATGTAGCAGAACAGTTTAATAAAATCATTTATAATTTAAACATACATAAACATTTATAATTTGAACATACATAAACATTTATAATTTTAACATACATAAACATTTATAATTTAAACATATATAAACATTTATAATTTAAACATACATAATTATAAATTTTATTTATAAATTTTATTTATAATTTATTATTTTTCTAATAGGTTTTTTTTAAAAAAGAATAATTCAGTCTAAAAGTTTTGCATATTAAAACCTTTGGTTTTTCAGAATTTATTTTAACGTCATACTAATTTCCTCTTTTGTGTTTAGGCCAGGAAATGTACAATGTCAATGTTGTTGCCCTTAATTCAACTGCTGTGCGAGTTCGTTTCTCTCTGTCAAATATTTTTGTTGGGTTGATTGGACATGCTGAACTTCATTTTACTACTGATCCTACCCTTCCACCCAACCAGTGGCACATCCAGAAGTTTTCTCGACCAAAAAGACTTTTTGACAGCCCTAATATAGAATATATTTTGAATGCCTTGAGACCAAATACCACTTATTTCTTGCAAGTAAAAATTAAAATAGATGCTCTGAGTGGAGGGCCTGAAAGTGAACTTTTCAAGCTAAGAATGCCAGAAGGTATGAAAACATGTGATATAATTTTTAGGTTTAAAAATTACGTAAGATCAAATGAATTTTTTTTAAAATAAGTTTGGTATTAAAAATCAAAGAACTTTACTACAAGCAGTAAAGTTTGGGTTAACTATTTTAAGACTTTGAAAGAAATATTTTTTAATAAGTTGTATTTTAATTTTAAATTCTTCATTAAGTTTCGGTAAAACTTTGGTTTGAAAGTTTTTCAAAAATATGCTACCTATGCAAAGAAAATATATGTGGATATTAAGACAATTGTAGACAGATTTGTAAAATTTCTGACAAAACATTTGTTTTGTTCAGAAATTTGGGGAATAAGATTTAAAACCAAATAAAGTTTTTTCATAGCTTTATTTTGTTTTGTTAAATTTGAACACATAATAAGCATTTAAATTGTTTGGAACTCTTTCCCTAATTTGTAGTATCTTGTATTAAGACTTGGGCATATTAAAATTGAAAAAAAGCAAGATATTCTTTATAATTACTATGTGTTATTTTTTAAACATTGTATTATTTTAAGAAAGATGTTGAAACTGTGTTATTGCTTATAACATATGTGATACATTTATTTGGAGCATGGTGAAAGAGAATTGTTATAAACACAATATTTTTATTAAATTAGAAAGTAATTTTTTTCTTTATTTTTTTTTTCAAATGTGGGACGATAATACATCAAATTTTCGAGTTATAGTTTATGTATAATCACTTCATGACAATTTTAAATAGTAGTATTACAATACTGCAAAAATGTATTTGCATTTTTAATTTTTCTTTGTTCGTTTTTAAACCAGTTCCTTTTTAAAAAATAAATTTTACAACTGATTTTTTTAAAAATTTATTTATTAAAATTTTATTTCATAGTAAATATCTAATTTTTTAGAAGTAATTGTCACTACCACAACAACTGTTCCTCCTATGATGATAATTGAAGCTAATCCAGAAGCTCATGTAATTGACGCTAAAACAGTTAGAATTTCATGGAGAAACTTTGATTTAAAGGAAAAGAAATATATCTATGCCATGCAATTGAAGTACAAGTTGAAAAATGAGGCTGATGATAAGTGGATTACAACTCCGATGATTCATAGAGATGTTACGTCATATTTTCTACATGACCTTGAACCTGCTGCAGATTACATTGTAGATGTTGTATTTATGCCTCCAAAAGATGTGCCAACTAAAATTGTTTCTGGAAAAGGAGTAGAATTTAGAACTGCCAAGAAAATTAAGGGTTTGTAAATTACATTTATTTTTATTTATTAGATTTAGCAAAGGAGCAAAACTGGGAGAATGTTTTTCCCCAATACACTATTTTTCTATCTAATAACATGGGGAAAACAGGTTTTGCTATGGGGAGAAGATTGTAGGTTAAAATACGACTTTTTACATGCAGAACTGTCAGTGGGTTAAGCCGAAACTATTTTATCGACGTTTAGTATGTCCTTTAATTTTTGTACTAAAAAATTATTAATTCTAAAATTTCATTTTTTTTAAGCAGATGAAATATAGAATGTTCGCATTTCATGAAGTAAATATTTTATTAACATTACTTATGTATCTATATTTTTCCAGAAAATGGGAAAAAAATCTTTCAATATAAATATTTTAAATTTGATACTGAATGGTTAAGAACTTTTATAAGTTTGTTTTCAATTGATATTACATTTCAATTTTTTAGTATATTTGAAATACACTGAAGAATTAAATGTATATTTTTAGATATACTGATACATGTTCAGAAATTAATATTATACTAAGCTTTAATCGTAATATGATAAGTATCATGAAAGTGATATTTGTTTTTATGTGAATGCTTTTTTTAAGTGAAAAATCTGTGCAGATTTTAATTGTAATACTAAAAATATATTCTCTTATTCAAAGCTTCCCTTGAAGAGGAGAAATGAGGAAATCAAGCTTCAATTTTTAACCATAAACTTTTTTTTTTCCTCATGGTTTAATTTAATATCTCATTAACAATAAAAAGGATAGATTATAATGGTTTTAAATATTTTGAAAAATACTCCAAAATTTTGAAATAAATGGTACTAGATTTAAAAAAAAAAAATAATTGGTCTTTCTCTGCTTGTGAAACCTGAATAGATTTCATAGAAAATATTTTATGTCTTCATGGAGTGATTTTGAAATTAAATTCGTTTATGTATGTTAATGATATAAGTCACATAATTATTAAATTAGCTTAATTATTTTTAGATGAATATCATTTACAAGTTTCTGTTGAAAATAATAAACTTGAGGAAGATAAATCATCTTTCCAATTTGCTGGTATACCAGAACCAATATCAAAATATGTTCATGTTATAAAAATCATGTACAAGACTAGTGATGGAGAGCAGTCCTATAGTTTCAAAGTGCCAAAAACTAATCATATCATGCTTGATCATCTGAAACCAGGAAAAAAGTAAGTTTCCAAGTTTATGTTATAAACTAATAAAGCTTTTTAAAAAGTTTATAAAAGCTTTCAGGTAACTAAAATTCTAAGAAACACGCTACATGACGATAATATTTAAGTTAAATAGAAATATATCAAAATTATTCTTATCTGTTAATCTATGGAAATATTTTATGTCACTAAAAATGTTTTTATTAATTTCCATGTAAAAATCTCAGATGTGAAATATCTATGTATGTATTGATTTTTCTTTAGTTAAGTTATGCCTAAAGTTAAATGTGTAATAATACGTAATTATGTTCAGTCTTGCAAATCTGCATTTTCATGTAATTTGTTTCATTTGCATAATTTCACATTCATAAAAGAATTTATTAAAAAATTTTTGAAGCGCACAATCAATAGAGAGAATTATATTAAATTAGTTTATTGTGTATTCATTGAATAAATTTGTTGAATATAATGAAGCAAAATTATATAAATTAAAAAGCGAGCCAGTTTTATATTTTGAACTAACAAGAAATTTTTAATGATGTCATAAAACTAAAATTGTATAACATTTCAAAAATATATATAATTTATAAAAATACTAGAAATATATCGATGCTAGTTAATTTATAATGTTAAGTGTTTTTTTAAGTGTTTAAGTTGGCAAAATATGCACAATTTTGATGCAGAAATCTGTAAATTGTTACACAATAAGAATTTATAACTATGGCAATATGTATCATTCTTGATCTGTATTTTGAAAATTAATTGGTTCATTTACTTAATTTTACACTCTTTGAAATTTTATTTTTGAAGTGTTTATAATTGTACTAAAAATTTTTTGTGTGTAATATTCTTTGCTTTGAATGTAATAAGAGAATTTAAATGTACTTAATGAAGCCTTAGTTTTATTCTGGAAAGGATTGAAACGAATTTGTAAGAGTTTATAATAAATGTTAATGTATTAGCTTAATATATAGCTGTATAAAACTTTGCTATTAAAATTTGATCATTTTTTTTATTGTTTCAGAGCGATATGTTTGTTAAAATTTTAATTATTTATATCTCATTAATAAATTAATAAAAAATACGTGTTAGCTTAAAAAATAAGTTGAAAATAAAATAATATATGAAGTGTTTTATTTTTTTTAAGTTTTTCTGTTTAATGTTTCAGAAACTTAAAATTCATTACCTTTATTACTGTACCATTCCTTTATTTTAAACTTTAACTCACAATTAGTTTTCTAGTTTATTTTATTTTGAGCTATTTTGTTTAATAATGCATTGTTTTTTTATTTAGATATTTAGCTCAACTGGAGCTGTATTTAACTAATGGCCAAACACTAACATCAAATGAAGTAGAGTTTATCACAAAGTCTGCAAAACAACCTCAAGTTAATGTTTCAGAAACTGAAAATGTTATTAGTCAAGAAGATCATACGAATGGTAATTATTCTAAACTGTTTTACAATTATTATTTTTCTTGCAAATTACATTAATATACTATTATAAATTATAGTTAAAGAGATTTGTTAAATGATTTAGAGCTAAACAATCAGCTTGTGATGAATACAAAAATTGTATTTCGTATATCCGCCTGTTTGGTTAGCGACAATGTTAAATAATGGTAGTGAACAAACCAAATTTGTTATAACAGTGTAAAGTTTATTTTCAAATGTTATTTTGAAAAATTATTATTTAGAAAAATTGCATATGTTCAGATGTATATCTTAGTAGATTCATAAGAGAAATATTTGGACATGGGAAGTTTAGACACAAGGGTCAACAAACAAAATTCTTTTTTGTACATATATTCAAGGTGAATAATTTAGGTTTCCTAGAAAAAACTGTTTTATTTCAAGAAACAACAATTATTCAGATGCATGTGAGCAACAGCGAAGATGGAGCTTAGTCGCCTAGTATTTTTATAAAAATTTTAGAGCATTTCCTTTAACCTATACCAATCTGTTTGTCTAAGTAAAGGAAACTCAAAAATATGCTTTTTTTAAGTCTGTAGTCTTTGAGTCAAATGATTAGCGTCAGAATAGAATTGATTTCAGTTTAATAATGTAAAGTTAAAACTTCATAATTTTTTTTAAAAGAAAAAAAAACTCATCATATTTGATTTAAAAATCTGTCACAAACATATCACAAGGCAGAAACATTTTGTGCCTTTTCTCCATAATATTTTAAAACAGAGTTGCTTTTTTTACAATTTATTGGTATCTGTAGCATATAGTATTAACATTTTAATTTCTATTGTATTTTTAACATGCTAATTTACCTCTATTAATCTGAATTCTAATTTATTAGGGAAACAAGCTGAACTACTTCAAAGTAATGAAAATAGGGAAGATGAAAACAGAGCTTACTTTATTGCCTTGGTTGTTGTTGCTGTAGTAGCTGCTGTGGCTGGCTTTGGCTTCGTACTTTTATTGGTCATTTTAGTAAAGAGGCAAGCCTCTGCCAAAGCTCCTATTTCCCGAACGCCGTCAGAGTCAGCTTATGATAATCCTACTTATAAAGTAAGTTCAAAACAAAAAAAATTTTGAAAAAATTACAACAAGCAAATTAGCATCTGTGGTCCTTATTATTTTTCGTAGAAATAATATTATTTTAAGACTAATTTTTATTTCATTTAAATTTTGTTATGATTTTTCTTTAGTTTATTTTATTTATCTCATAACATTTATTATTTTAGTTGAAGAATTTGGATTTAAAAGAAATATTTAGACAGGTACGCTAACATCTCTAATACTTTTCTTCTGTTTCAACTTACTTTTCTGTTTTCTTTTCATTTTTCTTCCTCGTTATTTTTAAATTATTAGTTGAATTAAACCTCATAATAAAAAAAAATTCTGTTTTAAAATGAACTTATGAAATCAATTTAGGCCTCAGAAACTAAGAGACTTAAGGATTTCTGTTAACTAATAATATTCTTTTGATTATTAACATTTCTCAAAAATACCCTCTCCTCTCTTTTTATTTTATTAATTTTTTTAGGTAAAATTATGTTTTATGATTATAGAGTCATATTTGAGATGGTTATAGGGAAATATGCATTATGTACTTTTTTTTTTGCATTTAAACTATAACTTTTACTTTATATTATCTTTTTACTGATATTTTCCATTTGAAATTGTAATAAACACTGTATAATAGTTTTAATATACTGTGTCTAGTTTTATATATTGATACATAAAGTCTTTAAAACTGAAATTTAATAAAATCAATCATTGTTTATTTGCATTGTTCATTTTAATTATTTTTAAGCAGAATATTAATAATTTAATTATTTATTTACTTATTTGTTCTACTTAGCAAAAAATAATTGAATTATTTTTAAAATAAAAAAAAAATTAAATAAACAAAAGTAAACTGTTATTTGGATATCTAATTTTTATTTGATAATTTATGCGACGTAAATATGAATGACATAACTTATTATGTAGGTAATTAATTTATATAACTGGTTTTTGAACTGATGAATTTATTCTTAGTTTTATTTACTATCAGGCTTAATATTTTAAATTCTAATTTCACTTTTTTTTCAAAGCTCAAAATTATAAATATTGTAAAGCTCCAACAAAGTTTAAAAAAAATTAAAGTAAGCTTAAAAATAACTTATAAAGACATACAATTGTTTTGGTAATGTAATGAAGCACTTTCTTCTGTGTCAAAACAAAAAAAAAAGGGGGGGAAAGCAGAGATGCAACAGAAGTTACTACAAGAAAAAAGGATAAACTAATATGTTGGGGGAACAAGATACTCAATAAAAGGTTGGTAGGTAAGAGAATATGGAAGATTTTCTAATATTCTTATTCCTTTTGTTCTATTAGTTAATCCTTTTTTTTGTTGTAACTTGTTTGTAGATTTTTCTGCATTTCTGTGTTGATAAGTTTAATTCTGTATTCTGACACTGAAGCTGCTTCACTTTTTATATTGATATAATCATTTGTCTGTTTTTGTGTTATTTTCCCCATTTTGTTTTAACTATTTATATGCAGTACAAAGTAAAACCTTTTGAATTATAAACATACTTTTCTATTTAATAATTTTCTGTAGAATAATTAAAATGTAAGGATTTTTTTCTCTTTTAAATGCATTTAGAAAGACTCTAAATATAGTCAAAATATTTTTCATCAAGAAGTGTAAAGTTTGGATAATTTAGTTCAACTTTTTCTAAATGTATTCCTTTTGTATTGTAATATAATCAAGCTCTTTCTTTTCTCTTGAAACCTTTTAAATTAGAAGAATTTTAATTCTTTGCTATTTTATGTAGAATAATTTCATTTTTTTAAATTTTAGAATTTTTTTTCTTTTTCTAATGTATGTAGAGAGATTAAATACATTTATTCAAAATATTTTTCATCAAGATTTATAAAGTTTGGATAATTTAGTCTGTTTCTAAATGTATTCTTTTTGCATCATGATATAATCAAGCTTTTTCTTTTCTCTTGAAACCTTTTAAATTAGAAAAGTTTTAATACTTTGCTATTTTATGCAGAATAATTTATTTTTTAAAATGTTATAAATTTTTTTCTTTTTCATCTTTTTGTAGAGAGACTATATATATGTTACGGTGAAACACCGAAATCTGGAGAATGTCGACATTCACCGGTGAATGTCAACATTCACATAGTTGCTTGGTGTATGCCTGAAATATTTGCTCAATACCCTTATTTCTGACTCTCACCGCTGAATGTCAATATAGTCGCTTTGGTGAATGCCCGAAATATTTGTTATATCCTATTTTATATTAATTTATTCGTTAATATTATTATATTAACGAATTATTATTATTTATTTGAATTATTATTTATTTGATTATTGAATTATTATTTATTGATTTATTTGATATTAATAATTATTTATTGAATTATTATTTATTTGATATACAGTACACTCTCGATTATCCGTGCGCGGATTATCCAATTTGCGGATTATCCGTGCTCATTCCGGAGTCACACAAAAAATACAAAGAGAAACATTTTCAAGATTAAAAAATTTGATTCATGAAGTTATAACACTACCAAATTTTTGGAAGCAATATTCGTTATTGGATTGCAGTATATGGAATAACAGCAGCATGGTCAAAGGTAAAATCATCTACGTTATCACGATCATGGAGAAAGATCATACCGCTTGATGAACAATCCTCTTCAGATGTTCAAGAAAAATGTGATAACAGTATTCTCGAACAAGCAAAAGAAATCTAAGGTTCAAAGTGATGCATGTGAGCCTGGCTTCCAGTATTTGAATGATGAAGACATCGTTATGTTGTTAAATCAAATAGTGATGATAGTANATCAGTGTCGGGTATACCGGGCAGTGGCACTTAACCCGAAAAAACATCAGTGTAGGGTATACCGGGCAAATTTATACCGGGCAGTGGCACTTAACCTTAAAAAAAAACATCAGTGTGGGTATACCAGGCAAATGTATACCGGGTAGTGGCACTTAACCTTAAAAAACATCAGTGTAGGGTTAAAATATCGAATAAATGTATTTATATCCACAAATAAATTCATATCGAATCGAATGTAATAAATATTTCGGACATTCATCAAAGCATATCTGTGATTGTCGACATACACCGGTGAGGGTCCGAATGTACAAGAATGTAATATTCAATCTTTCACCGGCGTATTTGGTGTTTGTCGACATTCACCGGTGAAAGTCAACAACCACTGATTTCGGTCTTTCGCTGTGACATATATATTTAATCAAATTGTTTTTCTTCAAGAAGAATAAAGTTTGGATAATTCAGACAAAATGTTTCTAAATGTATTCTTTTTGTATCATATTATAATCAAGCTATTTTTCTTCTCATTTTAGACTTATGATACAGAGCGGCCAGAAGACAAAGTAAATGGACAAACCATTCAAACTACTCAAGCGTAGCTCCTAGCTACAAAATAGACTTTTTAAGTTCAACAATCATGGGATGACCTAACTAAGCAAAAAGTTCTATCTATATATTGACGTTTTTACTTGTTTAACTTAGTCAACATAGTACTGCCATTTAAAGAAGTGTGCTGAAAAGAAAAATACTAAGAACTTTATTTGTCAATTAAAGAGAACTTAACTAAGAAGCTATTTGAGGTTATAAGAACATAAAGGAGCTATTTGAGAACATAAAGTAGTTTGGGAAGAATAATTCTCTAGTGATTTTATAGTGAATGAAAACTTTGTTTATTATTTAGAGTTACTTCTAAATATTAACATGTGAAGTTTTGGTTTTAAAAACGTTCTGTTTATATTACAGAAGTTACTGCATAAGTCAAAGCAATTTTTTTATTGCATTTTTTTGTCTTATTTTCAGTAAATGAGCTTTTTTTTGTATTTTGTGTAAGGTACAATAATTAACATTTTAAATACTTGTTGAAACTAAATTAAAATGACTTTTTTCTATATTTTAAATACTTTTAATTAAATTGTCAAATTTTCTAAATTTGTTTAGTTAAATCCTTAAAAATAGATGCAAATCTTATCTGATAATGTGCTAATTGACTTAATTCAAATAATAATAAGTGTAAATTTTTTATCTATTTTTAGGGATGATTTGATATTTTCTTAGTCTTGCATTTTTGTACTTTTAAACTCTCTTTTTGAGGGTCGAAAATTGTGTGATATTTTGCTCAAAAAGTATATTATATAATTTTTTTTTAGAAATTTTATAGAAAGAGTTTTTGAGACTGTTTGAGTAATAAAACTTGTGGAATGTTTGGTGATAAAATGTTAATTTAATTTTTTGTGTTGATCTTCTGTTTGAAGTTTAGTTCTTTGTTATCTAGTGTTCTTATGTATAATATTAAAAATAATACTTAGCAATCTAAGTATTAGGCTGTAATTAGTTTGTACAAATTAAAAATAGGGATAGAGAAGGCTAGAAATTTGTTAAAATACTAAATGCAAGTAAGTTAAAATTTCATAATTATAATTATTTTAATAATTAAAAGCATTTAATTGCAGTTTTGAATTTCTATGGAATTGTGAATCAGTAATTATTTTTTTGGCTAAAATTTAATTTTTGTATATCATCAATACTTGTACTAACCTGTAATTTGGTATGTGTTTTAGCAATTATTTCTTTAAATATCTTAACTTTTAATTTTTTATTCTTTGAAAAACTAACTGTAAAATGTTTTTATCTTTATGTGTTGATCACTGAAGAAATCTGTACCTTTGTTTAACTTAAATTATTTCTTCCAATACCTATTTGTTGAATTGTATTATAAAATGTACAGTGAGAGATTTATTATATATACACTATATCTGTGTTATAAAGCACTATTTTCTTACTTTGTAAAGCATTTTATATGTAAAAGAAAAATTTTATTGTAATGAGAATAAAAGAAATTTTGTATATAATGAAGTTTTTTGTTACTTTTTTCGAAATAACTTTTAACATATTTTTGCAGATTTCTTGTATACGAAAGATTTGTAAACTGATTTTTTTTAAAATTTTATTCATGTAGTACCAGTAACATCTTTGGACAGTTCTCTCATTTCACCCCCCCCAAAAAAAATTATATTGATGATAGAATAGCTCTACCTCAAAGATTTTTTTTAAAAAAAAGGTAAGAAATAAAATTTTTTGAATTGTCACCCGCGTTGTTGAATAAGGAAGCAAGTGGTTGTTCGCGGATGGTGGTTGATAACGACACCCACAACTCGTCCAGCCAGGAATATGGTGTCCTCGACATAGTTGATTCAGTCTGGTGCCCCATCAAAAAATAAACCAAAGAGACAGTTGACAGCTACCTGAAAAAACAATGAGAAAAGCGCAACAGAAAAGTTTGAAAATTACAAACAGTTTATTTATTTGTTATTATTATTATATTTTTTTTTGATTGATCACAATCAGCTGAATTTTTTTGTAAGTTAAAGTCCATATTCTTGAGCTCAAGTCCTATAAACAGTTCCAAATCTATGTTAGCAGCTATTTTTAGATTTTAATTTATGATTTGATGCAGGTATAGTATAATGCTTATTAAATTGATCAACGCATTTCATTTGATTACCTTTTGAATAGAATCTTCTATGCTTATTATGTTTACCTCTAATATATTATTGATAAAAACTCTTTGTTTATTAACATTTTCATAGTTATTATTCATTGGTAGCTTTCGTTTGCCTTGATAATTCAAATCAGCATAATTATTACTCAATAAAAAAACTCATCACTTTTAATGCAAGAATCATTTTTTTGCAGAAAATTTTTCTTCGAATTATTATACACATTTTTATCATTAAATTATGTATTAGAGAAATATTTACACTTTCGAGAGTCATTTGCGGTTAGAGTAATACAACACTCTTTTAATTAACCCAGTTTCTCGATTTGCTCATAAATTTTTTGTAGTATTGCACAATCATAAATTAGACTTCTAACTAAGGACTTTTACTGATTACTCAACAAGAAATCATTACTTTTAATGCAAGAATTATTATTTTGCTGTAAATTTTTCTTCAAATTATTATACACATTTTTATCATTAAATTATGTATTCGAGAAATATTTACACTTTCGAGAGTCATTTGCAGTTAGAGCAATACAACACTCTTTTAATTAACCCAGTTTCTCGATTTGCTCATAAATTTGTTGTAGTATTGCACAATCATAAATTAGACTTCTAACTAAGGACTTTTACTGATTACTCAACAAGAAATTATCACTTTTAATGCAAGAATTATTATTTTGCAGTAAATTTTTCTTCAAATTATACACATTTTTATCATTAAATTATGTATTCGAGAAATATTTACACTTTCGGGAGTCATTAGCGGTTAGAGTAATACAGCACTGTTTTAATTGACCCAGTTTCTCGATTTGCTTATAAATTTGTTGTAGTATTACACAATCATAAATTAGACTTCTAACTAAGTACCTTTTACTCAATAAGAAATCATTACTTTTAATGTAAGAATTATTATTTTGCTGTAAATTTTTCTTCAAATTATTATACACATTTTTATCATTAAATTATGTATTCGAGAAATATTTACACTTTCGAGAGTCATTTGCGGGTAGAGTAATACAACACTCTTTTAATTAACCCAGTTTCTCGATTTGCTCATAAATTTGTTATAGTATTACACAATCATAAATTAGACTTCTAACTAAGGACCTTTACTGATTTATTGATGATTATCTACTCTGATTTATTGATAATGGAACGTCTAGCATTTTCTCCTCTCTCTTAAAACCGAAACAATCCATTTAGTTAACATTCTCCATATGTTCGCCTTTTTAATTTTATTTTTCCTGTACTTTTACATTCGGGTTTCGATTTTACAACCATTATTTCTGCAGTTGAGTCGCTAAAAGCCTTGACCTTTTGATTATTCACGAATATATTCACAAATTTTAATTCTTGACTCGGTGGTATTTTTTTCTGCAAACATTAATGTGAAAAGTTTGTAACTTCGTATTAGGTATCGTGTTTATTTCTTCTTTTTGAGTTTCACAGGGATCAACACTTAAGTTTTGATTTTCTATTTTAAAATGCAAATTACAGTTACGCTCAAAATGAGAATTTGATCCACACGTCTATAGCAATAACGATTTTCTGTTAATTTAACATTTCTATAGTTAGAAGTGTGATTTTTTTTCCTGTTTTGCGCTTTTATCGAAAGTTTGGAGGAAATATTCTGTGCGCGTAACTTCTTGTGTCTTTTTTGTATGTGTTTTCGTAATATTTTGTTGATGTCTGTGTTTTCTGCGAGGATTTACCTTTAGATACAAAGTTAATATAGAAAGTTTTGGCAAGATCAATGAGTTTAAATCATTTTTCCCCAGCGGCTATTTCAACATGTGTTGAAGTTTCTTTATCTAATGTTTCGTACAATTTATCTGAAACTATCAAATCGCTTAATGATTTAAAATCCTTTACGTTTCTAAGCCTAAAGTAATAATCAGAAATAGTAATTTGGAAATAAAATGTACGCGAACTTTCTCACGATGAATTTTGGCGTGGCGGAAATTTTGTAAACATTCTTGAGGGGTGAGTTGATATTCTTTTAATATTAATAATTTAAAATTTTCATAGTATTTTAGTTCTTCGTCACTCATGTATAAAAGTACACAGTTTTCTATTTCAACTAACAACGATATTAAAATCTCACTCTTTGTTCATCTGGCACATTTTTGTTCTTAAATGCATATTTTATTGATTTGAAAAATAGTGTAAAGTTTTCGGGTTTCACGGTAAAGTAAGGGTTTTAATACTCCTTATTAAATTACCAACGCTAGTTTCGTTTTTATCGTTATCTGTGTTTAAACTCTACGCTGATTGTTGTTTTTTAGCTGCCCGTAGTTCTATTTCTTTCTCAATTTGAGCTAAATTTTTTCTAATCCAAGTTTTTGTTTCTCTGGAGTCATTTACATTCCTGATATTTTTAACCCCCCTTCAAATTTTCCAATTCAGTATAACCTCTGAATTGGAATTTGATTCCGCTTCGGTTTTCATTAATCTATTTTCAATTACGTAATTAATTAATTAAGTTTTTAACAAATTCAATGTCCGTTTTAAGAGTTCCTTCTGAATACGAAGACACTGACTGAAAAGTTACATCTGTAATATTCAACACCCTAAATTCCGTAATTGTGCCTCGTAATGATTCTAAAAAAAGCAAGCTCGAAATTTCACGGTATGTTGTTAAATTTGGGTTAAACTAATCCACGCATTTTGCGCTATGTCAATTTTTTAAACTCATTTTGAGTTTTATCCATTTTCTCTAACTCGTATTTCAAACACCGTCCAGAATAAAAAGCGACGAATGTTGTAAATTTGGTTTCAAAATATACTCAACATATTTAATACTTTTGTCCGGACTTACATAATATTAAAAATTTTTATAATTCTTTTCAAAGAAGCAATATTTCAGATTGTTGAAATTAGATTTCAAATTTTAGAAATTATCTTTGATTTGATAGTCCCACGTTGGCTACCACTAAGCTAACCAATACAACTAAATATACAATACAAAAATAGCGTCCTTCACTTCTTTTTTTAGAATTTTGAATTAAAGATAAATAAAATAATATTTACGACACACCTGTACGTCACAAATTATAAATCAATCATATTCTATCTTTTATGAAAGTAATAGAACTTAGAAACTGTATAAAACTAAGTAGATTTTCTAGAACATTTTCAGAGTTTTTAATTAGTAAGCAAACAAGGGGAAAAACAGTTTTTTTTTTTAATTTCCAAGCTTTTAATACACGTCCCTTTGTCACAATGTGTCTCACTTCTCATCATGTAACGTTTTATTACATAAACATATTCTTGCTCTTTATTACAGAATTGTTCTACCACCTTTCCAGAAAAAGTTCTTTTTTTCCACCTTAAAATAACGTAATCAAAATTTTTCCTATTTAGCCTTAGAATATACTACTCAAAATAAGTGGAAAAAATTCTCCATAAATAATTACAATAAATGGTTTTTGCATATTAATTTACATTGCAACACCGATTATAAGAAGTGGTTTTTGCGTATTAACCTTCTATCTAACACCAATTATAATAAAAGGTTTTTGTATATTAACCTTCTATACGAAACAGCCAAACTGAAATAAAATTCTTATTTTGGGACAACAAGAAATATAGTTCTGCCTATTCGTGAAAAAGAGTTCGAAATATAAAAACATCCGAATTCAGCTATCAAAATATATTTCCAATTCCTCCTAGGATATATATATCAGTTTCTTTTTAATTCTGATTTACAACAACAATTTAATAATACGGGTTCAATAGCAGACAGTTTGCTTCATACTTTCCACCAAATATACTCGATAAATCATCAAAATTGGATATCAGACTCAGAATAAGGAAGTTTCTGGATGATTTCATGACAATCTCATAGATCTTAGTAGTTCCGTTTGTGTGTTACCATTAAAAGGACACACCCGCCATTATTAAAGTTCCATTTATTGAGGTTTCCGAAAGAAAAAGGAAGTCGTTTTAAGCAGCCTAAAATGTTTTCTTCCAGTAGCAGAAATCTAGAGTATATTTTGATAGATGAAAATATCTTATTAGAATAAAGTTTCACCGAATAATGTCTTCTGATCACGTGAATATGAATAATTAAATTTTGGAAAGCAAATTTTTATTTAAAGTTATGAATATGGATAAACCGGTTTAAAAAAAAACATTAAACAACATGAGACAAAAAATTTTTCATTTTGATAAATGAAAATGTATCATTAGAATGTCTTCTGATCACGTGGATATGAATAATTTTGGAAACCAAATTTTTATTTATAGTTATGAATATGGATGAACTAGTTAAAAAAACAACATGAAAACACATAAAAATATACGTTTTCATGTTTTATTAACATCCTAAAGTAAGATTGATTACAT